ACTTCCCACGCTCCTGTTGGGGGCTAAGGAAACGCTTATCTCCCTGAGCGTGGCCTTCATAACACCATTCCATCACAGTGCCTGAAATTATGACCATTGCAGCGCCCCATGATAAAAACTCGGGTGCTTGGCAGCCTGCCTGCACTTACGACTGCAGGGGTGCTTCAACTCCCCCCCACCTATCTCCCCCCACCTCTGCCCTTTTGGCCCCCTGCCGCCCTGAGCTCCATCGCCCCAGCTGACCTTCACTGCCATCTACTTGCTCCTGCTGCTGATGACGTGTCCCTGACCTAGCTGCTGGCTTTACACTGCAAAGAAGGGAAAAAGAGCCAAAAGCAGCTTTTTTTCTTCCATTCTTTGCAGCACTCCCTCTCGTTCCTGGGGGCTGGCTGAAAAAGTTCCTTGCTGAAATCTCAGCAGGATTTTGGCACAGATTTTTTCCAGCCGGCCCCCGGAGTCAAGAGGGAGTCCTCTCGGCAGGTGGCAGTGGCTTGCGATGTTCCCTGCTGGCTTCCCCATTGACTTTCTGGGAAGCCAGCAGGGAAGATTGAAAATGGCGATCCCATGATTGCGGGGCGCTTGGCAATTGCAAGCTGTTGCTGCCTGCCTCTCACCTCTGGGGGCTGGCTGAAAAAGCCTCATGCCGAAATCCAAGCAGGAGTTTCAGCCACAGGATTTTCAGCCCTTGAGAGGCTTCAGAAGCCTCTTGGCTCTGGGGCTGAAAATCCAAGTGGTTTTGAGGCCCTTGCACACCCAACTGCACCACACCCCTGCACACCGTCACTGATCCATGCACCCCCACGCACCCCCTCACTCCCCCCCTCACTGGGCAGTGCCTGGAGCTTGCAACTTTCTGCCAGCTTCCCCACTGACTTGATTGTGGGAAGCTGGCAGGAAGTTGCCTTGCCTAATGACTGGGGCATTTGCTTAATGACAGCTACTAGGACTGCCGGGATTGCGGTTGCTAAGCGAAGTGGTCATGTGATAATTTGCTTAATGGCTGCATTGCTTAGCAACCTAAATTCCGGTCCCAATTGTGGTCATTAAATGAGGACTACCTGTATTTGGATCCTTTTCAGTCAGGGTTCATATCTGGGTTTGGGATGGGGAGAGCATTGATTGCTCACTTGGGTGACCTTTGTCATGAACTAGATGGGTGAAGTGTGCCTTACTGGCCAGTTGGGATGGGAAGCGTTGTTCTGCAGTGGTTCCACTCCTTCCTCAGTAGATGGTTCCAATATGTGTTAGTGGGGAAGAGAGCTTGGCCAGTGACCTCTAACATACGGGGTGCTGCAAGGGTTTCTTTCTCCCTCTTTTTTAACATCTACTGTACATGAAGCTGCTGGAAGAGGTCATTTGGTGATTCAGCAGTATTATTTCACCTGATTACATAGCATTTGTATATCCAATATACAACAATGGGATTAAATTTTATTAAAAATACTTCTAAGGATAACGTTATGACATTTAATATATTGATAAATGAAAATGACCTGTACATTTATGTATATGTAATATGGTGGTTTTCTGATATTAACTTTAATTAATAAACAGAAAACAATGTTGTAGCTAATATTGATAGAATATCTATTTCTTTCCTTTACTTCCAATACTCTGTTATCTAAATAATAGATTGTCAAGAATTTGTAACTATATCATATAAATAGCATTGTATTGAAATAGCATAATGTGTCAAGATTTATAACAATACAATAAAAAGGAAAAAAACTGAAAACAATGTATTTATTTAAATACATGTTTACATAATTCATATGGTCAATTAATGTTCTTTTTAGATAATTAACAAATTTATAAATAATCAGAAAAAAAAAATCAAATAGGTATTAAATTACCAAAAAATTATCATACAAATTTTTAAAAATCAGCAAAAGTGAAATCTTAAAATAACAAAGCTAAAACATGAAGTTCTTAAACAAAACTTAAAACTGTTTTTAACAATTTAGGAAATTAAGCAAGTTTTTACTTGGTGTTTGAATTTCTGTAGAATTATTCCACAATTGAGGCACCATTGCTTGAAAAGCCTTTTCTCTAATAACATCCATTATATTTAATTTGACAGGGCACATTTAAAATGGCTTCTGAAGTAAATGTCATTTTTCAAGTACATAAATATGACAGGAGTGAATCTTTAAGTAAACTATTGCTTAATACCTGTGTGTATTAAAATGAATAATAACCAATTGTTATGCTTTTACTGGACTCCCTTTTTAACATATTTGCTGATTGATGCACACAAGCCTTCACAGTAGAATATGTTCATGATATAACATACACCGTAGTGATTGCAACTGTATGCCTTATTGAATCTGCCTTCCTCTGTAAATATATATTTGGCCCTTCTGAAGCAGAAAATCACAACTTTCTATGTCATTAAAATAATTAGTATTTCCAATTATCCCTGAAGCATACTTCTCTATCAGTGATGAATGAATCCAGTGGTACTTCAGATTTGAAAGTGGCAAAGTATCTTTGAAACTGGCAACGCATCCCTTCTCATAGCATTAAAGCAGCTGCATTAAGGCCAAGACAGCCTTTGAAGCAGTTGTGTAAGCCTTCCAAAGGATGCAGTTGCTTTAACGCTTTGAGCAGGAGTACTTTGTGTTAACGCTTTTTGCACAGTGCCATTGATTTGTGGTTGCATTCATCTGGACAGAAAATTCAGGTGGCATTATAAAAAATTGGCAGGTAGTATCACTGACAAAATTATTAATGTCAGCATGAATCCAGTATATAGTATGATTGTAGTAATATCTTCAATTCTTTATCCTGCAGGACAGTGTTGCTATTAATTAGAATCATCCTTGAATACTGCCAGTGTGTGGATAATATCCCCTCCATAGTGACTGACATGCTTACTCGCTTGTCTGATTTACTGAAGGTACAGCTGCCTCCAATCTGTTATCAAATGCACGGAATGTACTTGCAGGTTTTTTTAATATTGCTTTCACTCAATTGTTTAATTAATCTAATTGGGTAAGATTAAAAACACTGGAAGAAACAGCAATTAATACCAGCATATCTACTATTTGGATTCTTTAGTATACAAAACATAAGAAGACCAAATATTTTGAGGGACAGATCTCTCAGCATAAACTCCAAAGTGGCTCCAGTTTGAATTTTAAATTTACTCTCAAAAGACAAATATCCTTCCTTGCCTTAGAACATCTGCCTTAAATATTTTAATGCTAACTACATTATTAGGGGAGTCAGTTTGGTGTAGGGGTCAAGGCATTAGGCTAGAAACCAGGAGTTCTCGTCCTGCCTTAGGCACAAAGCCAGCTGAGTGACCTTAGGCCAGTCATTCTCTCTCAGCCCTAGGAAGTAGGCAATGGCAAACTGCTTCCGAAAAATCTTGCCAATAAAACTCTAGGGATTAGTCCAGGCAGTCTCCAGGAGTCAAAAACTGACTTGAAAGCACATACACACAAACTAAATCATTAGAATTCATATTGCCAAGCTATTCTTTCAACACTGGAATGCACAGATTACAGGTAGTCCTCGTTTAACATCCACTTGTTCAGCAACCATTCAAAGTTACGACGGTGTACTTACGTACATAAGGAGTATTTATGACGGGTCTTCATAGTTGCAGCTGTTGCAGCATCCCCACAGTCATGTGATTGCAATTTGGATGCTTAGCAACCAGCTTGCAGTTATGATGTCAGTGTCACACAGTTAGGTAATCACCATTTGCAACATTCATTGCCAGTTTCCAACAAGCAGTCAATGAGGAAGCTGGCAGGAGGTCACAAATAGTGATCACATGATCGTGGGATGCTGTGACCACACAGGATTCACCTAACAATGGCAACTGGGACTGCCAGAACTGCTGTTGAAAATCAATACGATCATGTGACATCACGCCTTACAACTACATTGCTTAGCGACAGAGTTCCCAGTCCCAGTTGCCATTGGTAAGCGAGGATTATCTGTATTAACTTATGTGTTGAACTGAATTAAGGCAGACATAACTGCAAGCATGCAGTTATTGTCAGAGTGTCAGTAAGCTTTCCCCTTGGTGACAGAAAGTCAGGAGTCTAGTAGCGTCTTTTTCTGATCAACAAATTTTATTATAAGACATAAGCTTTCAAAAGCTGCAGCTTATGCCTTTTAATAGAAAAAGTACTACCAGGCATCTGATAAAGTGAACTGCAGTCCATGACATTGTGTGCTTTTCAATAAAATTTGTTAGTCAGAAGAGGTGCTATTGGACTCCTGAATGTTAATTACATTGCATGTAATTCTTAAGTAATTGTTTATCCTTCTCTCTTTCTCATACAGTATTTCAATTCAAGAAGTTGCCAACTAGTACTTGGAGCAGGTGCTTTACAAGTGGTTGGCTTGAAAACAATAACTACAAAGAATTTAGGTATGGGTCTGGTTTTCAAACATTTTGTGGTTCTGTAAATTCTCCTTAGGATTTTTTTTCAAGGAAAAGGTTCCCAATTTTTCAGGGGTATATTTTAAATTTTGGCTTAATATAATGTTTTCTTATGAATTTGTTTATGGCAGATAGAGTGTTCGTTATAATTGGGCCTGAGAAAAGTAATTGTAAGATTCAGTTTGTTTATAAAATGTGGTTCCTTCTGTCTAAAGCTTTTCCTTCAATGCTGTTCTCTAATGGAAATGATACTCTTTAATGCAGATAGTGGACACGGTCCTACGGGTAGTCTTCGCTTAACAACAGTAATTAGGACTGGAATTTCTGTTGCTAAATGATCCAGTTGTAAAGCATGATGTCACATGACCATGCCACTTAGCGACAACAGTTCCAGCAGTCCCCAGTTATTGTTATTAAGCAAATCACCACAGATCATTAAGTGAGGACCTCACGTGACTGGCCACTTCTGACTTCCTGCTGGCTTTCCCATTGACTTTGCTTGTGGGAAGCCGGCAGGGAAGGTCACAAATTGTGATTATGTGACCGCAAGACGCTGCAACGGTCAGAAATCCAGGCCGCTGAGTGCCTGGATTGCGATCACGTGACTGCAGGGGTGCTGTGATGGCCAGAACCTAGAGGACCAGTCATCAGTACCACTCGTTCAGTGGTAAGTTGTAAGTTCAAACAGTTGTTGTAAGTTCAAACAGTTGTTGAACAAGTGGTCATTAACCGAGGACCACCTGTACAGCTTGCACAAGAAAAGGTCTCTTAGTATAGAGTGAAACTCTTCTTTTGTTGATTTTCCTTTTGTTTCTTCTATTTTTAGCTCTTTCATCACGCTGCCTACAGCTTATAGTATACTACATTCCTGTTATCAGGGCTCATTTTGAAGCTCGCCTGCAGCCCAAACAGTTCAGCATGCTTAGGCATTTTGACCACATTACCAAGGTATTTTTCCAGTTACTTTCTGACTTACATGTTCTAAAAACCAACAAGAAATGCATTTAGGCTTCTCAAAGTGTGTTATGTGCTTCCTAAAGAAAAATGGACAGCAGTGCCAATGCTTCCAGCCCAGAGATGTGCTCTTGATCACATCTCTGGGTGGTTATAAGAGACAGTATTCTGTCTTCCTGCTAGGATTTCTGTTTCCATTCAAGGATTTAGGTGAGAAACAGAGGCGTGTTCACTTTCATCCAAATTCCTTGGCAAGTGAGAAAAGATTCTCTGCCCCAGAAGTAGAGGGCTTGGAAGAGAGCAGTTATTTATCTAATTTGTTTAAAGTTTGGAAAAGAAACAACCAAACATCTGAGGAAAAGGCAGTTTTGTATACCTTCTATAACAGCTTAAGAATTATTTTTTGCTTTCTCCAAACTGCAGTTCAAGTAAATAAAAACTCATCAAACATGTGCCACAGGACTTGCAGGAGTTCCAAGACAAAAGAAATGGTGGTTCAGAGAAACAGAAACTTGGCTAATAAGTCAAAATAATACCTGTGAATAGCTATAAATGAGGGTGTGCAGCAGCCCAGTATAAATAAATCAATAAAGGAGGGGCAACAGTAAAGTTGTTTTCAGTTTTACTTTGTGCTTTATAGATATTATTACAAGGACAAAGTCTGGCATAATATGAATAATAGTCATGTTTTTAATTTCAGGATTACCATGACCATATAGCAGAAATTTCAACTAAACTTGTAGCCATAATGGATAGCTTGTTTGACAAATTGCTCTCCAAGGTAATAATTTGAGGGTGGAATGATGTTGCTTAATTTGTGTTAAGTTCCTCATTTTGAGTAGAACTTGAAACTGATACTCAAGTTATATTTGTCTTCCGCTTTCTTTTAACTTTCTCAGCAGCATGTACCAGGAGATACTGTTTGCCCTTAAAATTGATTATCCATGTATTATTGCTTCATGCCAGTAAGATTGTTATCGTACTCATAGAGATAACCTATATATTTCCAGCCTAAAACAGGAAGGGTAAACCAGTTCTTTCAATATTTGTGGAACAATGGCAGCCACAATACCAGCTTCCATGGAGCATCACTCATACCTACAACTCGTAGGCTATTCTGATTGTAGGGAATACAATCTCATGGGAACAGAGACATGGAGGGAGCCAGTGCACTATGGTAGCCCTTAGGATAATCTCTGCTCCTGTCCCATACGGAGTAATGGTACAGCAACCCTATCTCATAATGAGGGTTCATACGGTCCAAGCTGCAGAGAACAGTCATGTAGCACTATTTTTGCATAACTCCTAACTGCCTTGGTAGGAGGCCTGCACAAAAGAAAACAGATTTGGGATAAAAATCCACAGAGTAAGGTGAATGGAGAAATTACTACAGTTACTCTACTCCCCTCTTTTCCCCTCAAATAAGATGCTAGTCAAAATCCAGAAGACAAATTCAGTGACCCGTACCCTGTCTGCATTTTCAGTATGAAGTGAAAGCTCCCGTACCTTCTGTCTGCTTCAGGAATATTTGTAAGCAGATGGCAAAGATGCATGAAGCAATATATGACCTGCTTCCTGAGGAGCAAACACAGGTGAGCCTTTGGGATGGTTGATCAGTTGCTGCTGTGGAACTGTCATGCTCCCAGTTGTTTAAGAGATGTAAAATAGGGACATACTACACAATATTAATGGCATTTTAAATACTCTGCTCTACTGTTGAATGATATATAATGCATATCATGTAGTAAAAGTGGAAATCAGAATAGTGCATTGTCTAATATGAAACATCGCTGCAAGAAAATCTTCAGCTATGAAACTTTTTATAATGGGAAGATAAAAGGGATTGGTCTCTTTTCTCTGTTTTGTCCAAACACAGTTTGTTGTTTATTTTTAATTCCTTATCTAAGAAAATCTATTTTATTACTCTCTGTACAGGTAGTCCTTGCTTAATGACCATTTGTTTAGCAACCGTTCAAAATTACAGCGGCGCTAAAGTGACAACCACTGCCTGAAGTTATGACTGTCACAGCACCCCCCACAGTCATGTGATTGCAATCCAGGCGCTTGGCAACCAGCTCACACTTAGGACAGTTGCAGCGTCCCGGGGTTATGTGATTGCCATTTGCACCCTTGCCAGCCAGCTTCTGGCAAGCAAAATGAATGGGGAACTGCATGATTCACTGAATGATCACGTGATTCATTTAACCACTGCTGCAAAAAAGTTTGCAAAATTGGGTCAACTCGTGATGATTCACTTAACAACCACATCGCATAGCAACCTAAATTCTGGTCCCAATTGTCGTTAAGCGAGGACTACCTGTAAGTTGATAGATGGATTCATTCAAATCATAAAATAGGTAAATCCTTGGATTATTGGTTTTAGCTAAATTGATGCATTACAGCTCATGTGTGAATACTGACAAAATATTTCTACTGATAGCACATAAAATGGAAGTATTGAAAGCAATTCTCATACTACTATAGTTGATCTTTGACAAACTTGTTTCTCCAAGCAGCATAAACAGTAGATATGCAAAATGACTAGATGCAATGCTTCAGATTTGATTTCAGAAAGGTGCTTCTTAGCAAGCAGGAACATGAACATAGGACTTGTTTGCAGTTCTTTAAAGCAGTCACATCTTTTTCCTGGATTTTCAGAGGGCAGATACACTGCATAACTCTAAAAATAATGCCCTTTCTGTGACATGGGACCAAACAAAGCAATTGCCATTAACCTGTTTGTAAGAACAAAAAAATAAACACCTTATAGTACTATTAATATTATTAAAGCTTTTCTGGATCACTGTTCACTTCATCAAATATGTCTGATCTAGTGCTGAGTGATGAACATTTTGAACAGTTGGTGAGAGGACAAAAGAAAGGAGGGAAAGCTGGTGTGGAGAAGATCATATAGAATTATAGAATTACTGTAGAGATAGGAGATGGATTTACTTAGATCAGCCTTTCTTAACCTTTTGACCCTGGATGAACCCTTGAAATATTTTTCAGGCCTCAGGGAACCCCTGCACATTCAGGCTCACCCTGGATGAACCCTTGAAATATTTTTCAGGCCTCAGGGAACCCCTGCACATTCAGGCTCACCCTGGATGAACCCTTGAAATATTTTTCAGGCCTCAGGGAACCCCTGCACATTCAGGCTCAAATATAGGCCAGAAGTTACAAATTTATTATATTTGTTTCATCTGTACGCCTGTATAAGTGCATTAACAGTGTTCTTAAATTAAAAATAAAGAATGAAACTTACCTCTTTAATGTGAAACCTGTGCTTATTTTTTGCTGCACAAATACTTAATTCTGGTCCAAATTTGAGACAAGCACACGTGGATTTCATCCTCAACTGAAATAAGATGATTTCTGTCTTTGCTTTTGATGCTTGTTAAATAAGAAAAAGCTTGCTCATACATA